GAGACCCATTTCTTAGAAGCAGGTTAACTCGAGGTTTTGGAGGGGAATGCAAATGTTTTCTAATTTCATGTGATCGCCGTCACATTTTGGCTTTTATAATCTCGCGCTCGACTCCTGATGCTCCAATGAATTTGATTGGCTGTAAAATATCTATGACCATGAAGAGCCAACCAGCAATTAATACGAACTTTAACTCTGCTCAGAGTTCACCGTAAATTTAACGAACTTTGAAATGTTACCTTAGACAACGTTTTAAATCAGAATATTTAAAGTCGTTAAATTGACCTTTGTGCGTATATTGTACATGTTACGTCGTACCGCATTTCTTTGTTGAGCCAACTTAAGAAAGTTTATGAAAATTCATTAACACCATCTGCGGTGCAAAACCAGCAAAAATGCTTTTTTAAAAGCTTAAATCCCTCGTTCTGGAACTATTAAGGGGTTTTCAGAGAGATATTCACCAGTTCTCCGATAATTTATCCGACACAAAATGTCATCCGCTGTAACTGGTTTGTCACCAGTTGAACTTACTGAAATGCATTCCATGTGACGAGAAACCGCCACAATAAATTTCGCTCTGTTTAATCTCAAACTCTTATCTAGCAGCCAGGCAGGTAAGCGACAATTTGTCGCCATGAATAAAAAGCCTCAACATTCTAGCCACTGCTGTAATCTACTAAGTGAATACAGCATAACATCGATATCGCGAATTCCTTTAGCAGTACGAATCGGTAGTAGACCAAAAGCATCTGGAATATATGGACAGCATTTCTTCTTTAACTAACAGTTTGGGAAGACAAGTCCAGGAAATTTCGAATGACACACAGCGAACTTGCTTAATAACAGTTAATATAACAGTGCTATTTATTAAGTGTTCACATCTGCTCCATTTGAACTGCGCGTTTTTCTGGATCGCCCTGGATTCCTGAATTTTGATATGAAATGTTCAAGTAAAATAGGAGACATAAAGTCGGATGACGGTTATGTCAGCCGTTTTATTTTGTATCCTTTTCACAAGAGAAACAACGAAATAACAGCCACCATAACAGCCTTTAGTATTCTTTCGAGTGCTTTAGTTGTTTACAAGCTCCGGCATTGGCGTGCTCAATTCTGATCGAGTGATTTTTACCTCCGCGATTCTAATCGTCCTCAAAGACCTCGGAACTGTGAAATGGCCTTTCACGTTCAATAGTTGTGAGAAATCCTTCTCAGACTAAGGGGGAATTATCCGAAACCCATATTAGTCAGGGTTAACGTTTAGGGCACATTCATAATACAGAGAACGTCAGTAGAGAAGGCGCTTGGATACAAGTCATCTCCATATTGAAATATAACCTTGCATTTCACAATTTCTGACGTGTTGTTACGCAGTCAGGAGAACAAACCAGCTGATCATTTAATTTCCGGCGGAAATTGAACAAGGAAGTTTTATGCTTTCAAACTCGAACACCAATATCATTCCACACATCAGATACCAGTACCTTTGCCGAAATCAGGTACATTCATCCGATTTCCCATGATTTCGTGGCGACTGACTGTCCTTTGTTCAATTCTGTGCAGCGCTCTCTGCGCAGAGTGAATAAAGGGGTAATGTTGGCAGTTTATATCTTGGGGGGAGGGTTTTGACTGGTAGTATAATATTATGTGTAGAAAAAAAGCGCAATCTCGGCTTAATTTTTCATTTCCGCCCATATGAATGACATTGTCTGAGTAGAGTACGTTCTCCTTCTGCATGGACTACACGCTCAGTTTTATGGACGCATTATTTACCATCTTCGTAATCGGCCAACTCGGGGTCTTTTCCGGATTCTTGACTCAATTTCAGTATCGAACTGTCTGATAATGCTTGTTAAGCCAAAGAACTGATCCTGGCTGCTGTGAGTGATCTAAAGTACCAACAAGAGTTGTATCGCAGGCAGAAGTCTTTTCGGTACACTGGAAGTGCGTTTATTTCTGATTACTAGACCAGCTCGTCCGTGAATGAATAGAATTCGAGGAGAGTTAAATATCCGCTCAAAAGGACATGCATCGGGACAGGAGCTAAATGGCAATTAGTTCTCTAAATACCCCCTGTAGGTGGGTGTGTGCAT